GTTGATCTTTCCATTTTACCCCTATTTTTATCCTGGGACTTCCTGTTCAAAACCCATGAGCACCTCACCGCAGTCTATTAGGAAAAGGTGCACAGCTTGGTCTGCATACAGGGTCCTCCAGGATGGGTCTCCGATGCACAGTCCAGTTTAACTCCAGAGGTCCCAAACCCAGACCATTGTCACTCTCTGTGCCTGCTCCTTCCTACCTGGAACTTTGCTCTCGCTGGAGCCCCTGCCTTGACTGCCCCGGCTGCTCCTGTATATTCCAAGCCTCCCTATAAGGGCATATGGCAGGAGGCTTAAGCCTTGGACAGCCAGGCCTCAGTTCACCATCCCAGCTCTACTCACTTAACACTTAACCTCTATCCCTTTCAAGGTGAGTTCCATTTTCAAGTACTTTAGGCCATCCTGTACAATTGAATTCTTTAACTCTTTGGTTTTATAGCTCTTACCCTGAAACTTGAATAACAGTTGCCATAAAATGCAAGATGAAATTTTAGAAAAGAAAATGTCATCGATAGTACATTTTGTGTCAGTGGCAAAACACAGAAGGATACAGTCCCCTGATTTGCATTCTCTGGTGTCCCTGACTCACTAGGGTGAGAGTTGGTTCCAGCTTTGTCCTCTTAAATGGTCCTCCTTCCCCTTGGAACTAGGGAGGGCAGCTGTGTGAGCCTCCAGGACTGCTCCACTCACAGTCTGTGGGCTGTCCCCTGCTGACATGGGACCCTCCAGGAGAAACCCCCGTGGGCCAAGTTGCTCCCACGGGGACTGCTGTTGTACTACAGTTAGCTGGAATAGCTACAATTAGCCATGGGGTGACTGCTTTGCACCTCTGTCATGTCCCTGCTGTTAGGGTTATCTGTCTCTAGTCCAATGCCTTTAATTGTCCTTATACAATGGGATCACAGGGGACTGAGTCTGTGAGGTGTCAGTAATTGCTGTTCCTTTGGCAGAATACTTGGCTCATGTCACAACCTATGAAATGAAGGGTTTTTTTGAAGAGTCTTCCACCCACCTGCCACTCAGCGACCTCTGGTTTTGCAAAATGTCACTCAGAAAGTGACTCAATGCACCTTTTACTAAGTAGCTGCTCACTCTTCTGTGATGAAGGACAGTCAGTCCATCCCAAAGAAGGGATGACTACAGTCCTGGGGACTTTCTAGTCTCCCTACAACCCTAGGGGTGAGCACCCCTTCCCTCAGGGGTTGGCTGTTTATTCCTGGTGATAAGATACCAAGACTGTGCCCAGTACTGACACAGGACTCCAGCAGACTCAGTAAAACATGTAGTTCATTCATGATGAGTGAATACTCTGATTCCCAGATGAAGCTGAATTGTAAGTCACCTACTGTGTCTGATATTTTTGTGTTTTGTGGGAATTGACATAATGATGCTACTTTTCATTTTTGCCAAATAGGACATTAATAAAAATCTACTATCTTGTGTTCTGTCATAAAACAGAAAAGAGTCTATCATCTTTGCATAAAAAAGATATTATTAAATTGAACAGACTTAGCTTTGTGATTCTTATTTTCCCAGTTCACTGAGGCTGGGAGAAAAAGGGGCCAGAAACTGGCTCTGGTCACTGGTCATGAGTTGGGACCCACTATGATGTGAACCTTGTCCATTTAATCGAGGTACTCTTGAAAGCCCTCTTTCAATTCAACAACCATGGTACCCTCCCCCTCCTCTTCCCTCAACCTATCCATCTTTATAATACATTTGAACAATTATTTGTTGTCTTGTATTGTCCTCTAATGGTTTCATGTATGAATAGCTTCTCTCTTCCAATCAGACTGTAATGCTAGGCAAATAGAAGGTACTGAGCAACTAATTATTTGAATTTATTTCTATAATATGCACTGGTATGTTGTTTAGAGGACTGTTGGCTTTTCACATACAGGTGTGTGTGTTTGCACATTTTGGAATTCTGCTGGAATCTTTAATTTACATAGGCACATAAATGAGAGGTGCACATTTTGAAGAAATAAAAAAGCTTAGTAAAGTAAGAAAACAAGTCTTTGGAGCCAAGTATCCATCTTGCCTCCATTTCCTAATGAGGCTGAAAAGATAAACTACATATTGGTAGACATGGCCCTGCATTTGAAGTATCTTGAAAGTCTCTCATCATTTTTGATGATGTAGTAATAATGTAGGGTGTAGGTGGTAGTTGAGATTCTCCCATAAAATATCAGAATTTTTTTATTTTCATGTACTTTTTTATTTAAAAAATCATAAAATGTTCCTTAGAGTGACAGCTGAGCTTCAATATTTATGACTTTCTAATTGCTCTAGCTGTTTAGAAAAAAAATGAGCCCTCAAGTAAAATTTAAGTGGAAAAGATTAAAATACAGAATTATGGACTTTTTTCATTTGAATGAATACTCACTTTTTGCTGGAAATTTTATGTACCAGCCCTAGCTTCCTTATATTTGACAGTCCTTGAAAAAGTACTTAATTTCTTTCTTGGAAATATATGAAGTGTTTTATTATTTGAAAATAAACCCTTTGGATCAGCACAACTTTCCCCCCCGTTTTATTCTACTTTGGACTGTAAACCAAGCACACACCATCCATCTTACAAATGAATGATTCAGTTTGGGCACGAGCTGGAGAACATACGAGTGAGTGAAAGGGATATGTGACAGCATCATTATCTGTGGGGCCTTTTTAACTGCTATGATTTATGATATTTCCATGGCTGATTTGTGACACGTGCTCGACTCTGTTCCATCCTTTATCTTTTTGTGAGTTTTTGTTCTCTTGAATGAGGTTTCAGATTCAAATGTATCAAGTCTTCTGATTAAATCAAATCATATTTCCTTACCCAAGATGCAGCTCTTTGATCACTTTCTAATTTTGTGCTTGGTTCCTTTTCTTAAAATAATATATTTCTACAGCTACTTAATGGAGTATGTTGTTAACAGCTGATGAATCTTGAGAGTGGGGAAGATAATATGACTTTGTCCCTTCAAGGAGTATGTAATATAACTCCATTATTATTAACTCCAATGGCTGTAAAAGAGATTATGGATGTGGCTAAGGAAAAATGGGCACTGTCGACAATCTCAGAAAGGGAATGACGAAAAACCTTACTTCCCCCAAAACACTCATTGTAAATGAAATTTGTTATACTTATGCTAAATTTTAGCAAGCATTTTCTTGTCGTAGCTTTTCCTGATTAATTCTGTCAACAAGTATTTGTTGAGTGTCTACTAAGCCTTGTTCTAAGTGCTAGGAGTATAGTATAATAGTCTCCTTTATTCACAGGGGATATTTCTAAGACCTCCGGTGGATGCCTGAAACCATGGATGGTACTGAATCCTATATATACTGTTTTTTTCCTATACATACATATGCTTTATGGCTTTTCTTTGGCACACCCAAATTGCACTTTGGAGCCATTACTAAGTAAACTAAAGGCTACTTGAACACAAGCACTGTGAGACCGAGATAGCAGATCTGATAACCAAGAGAGCTACTAAGGGAATAACCCAGGGTGGGGTGGCGAGGGTGCTGGGGTGGGTACGGCTGGGGTTGGGGTTAGCATATACAGTGCAGACAAGCTGGACTGCACGAGATTTCATCACACTGCTCAGAACGATGCACAATTTAAAACTTATGAATTGTTCATTTCTGGAATTTTCCATTTAATATTTTTGAACTGTGGTTGATCATGGGTAAACCTTGGAAAGTGAAACCATGGATAAGGGGTGGATACTGTAGCCAATAAGAGGGAGGAAAAGCCCTGCCTTTGTGTGGTTGATATTCTAATGAATCCTGATGAACTAGTTTATATTTTTAAAAAGCTTGTTATGTGAGCTTGTTGAGCTTTCTATAAACACTCAATGATATATTGCAGCCTAACTAGTAAAGGGACCAGAATGAATAATTCAGGATTTGATTCCCAGGACAGCGTTGAGCAAAGGGCATGGTAAAAGACCCTTTTTGTAGATTTGGCATCTTGTGGTGAATAAAACTAACTCGGCTATGAAGAAAGTAATGTGAAAACCAGAAATTATCAGGATTATTTTGAAAAGGCATTGTGACTATGTCCACCCAAACATGTATGAAAACATTCTAAAAGGCCAAAGAGAGATCATCCTTGCACCTGATCTAAGAAAAAAGGATTTTTTTCAACACAATACCTGAAAAAATAATCTTGGACTCAGCCAATTTTGGAGTTTTGAGGCAGGGGTAAAATTTTAGGCAGAGCTGGTCCTAGTTACAAATGAGAAGAAGGCAGAGCTTGGGCATCCACACCTCCCCATCTCCTACTGACCCCTTTGTCCATCTGACTCATGGTGTCTCCTGTTATGCTCCACATGGGAGGAAAGTCCTGGGCCTTCATTCCAAAGACCTGGGCTTCAGCTCCTCCTCTGCTGTTTATCCTTCATGGGAGCATGAACAAGCCACTTTGCTAAGCCTCAGTTTTCTTCTACTTTTTAAAAAATATATGTTTATTGATTTCAGAGAGAGGAAGGGAGAGGGAGAGAGAGATAGAAACACCAATGATGAGAGAGTCATTGATCGGCCGCCTCCTGCACGCCCCTGACTGGGGATCGAGCCCACAACCTGGGCATGTGCCCTGACTGGGAATCGAACCCCGATCGCTTGGATCCTAGGTCGACACTCAACTGCTGAGCCACGTTGGCTGGGCTAAGCCTCAGTTTCCTCAAGTACAAAATAAAGATAAGGATACCGACCTCAGAGGGAATGGTGAAGATTAAATAGACTGTGTGTGAAAGCGCTTTGGAACAATTAACAAGAATGAACATAATAGCCAATACTTTCTTAAGGAATGGCCATAAAACTCTGAAGGAATGACACAAACTCTACATACGAAAGCCTGCCAAGTGGAAGGGCAGGTGGTGGGATTCCTGTTTCAGTCAGGTGTCTCTGTCGGACTGTGTCTTAAATTACACCACGGGCCGGGCTCCGCCTCTGCCCACAAGGAGCCTCGTCAGCCCAGCTGGTCGGGGTTCCCAGGTACTCACTCTTGCCAGGCTGGTCCCAGATGGGACTTTGTAAGGGACGTACTTCCTGTAGATATGACCAACTCTAGAACACGGGACATCGAACATTTCTCCTCCACACATCCAAACCTAAAGAGAGGACATTTAAAGGTATGAAAAAAACCCCAGAAAATTTCATACATAAAAGGAATTAGCAAGTTTCAAACATATCTTAAAATCTCATAACGTCTCAAAAAGAGTAATTTCTATGTATTATAAATGGCTAACCAAGAAAGAAAACCATATTTTTAAACACCCAGATTCGTAAACATATAGAACTGAAATACTAGTTTAGGAAAATCTAATTTCCATAGACATCTTGGTATTATTTTTTTCTAGTAGAGTTTTATCATAAGTATTACACTGAACTAAAATTTAATGCTTAGACATCTTAGTTCTATAGATATTTGTTTTGACAGTCTTGTGAAATCATTTGAAGAAATAACAGATTTCAGGTTCACCATCACAACTGAGCCCCTAGATTTGGTTAGGACTCCTGCTTTATACTCTGTTTTCATCACATACTTCTCTTTTGCATATTTCACTGAGTCAACAAATGTGCAGTGAGTCCTTACGATATGCTAAGCATTATTCAGCATGTTGGAGCTATAATACATGACCATGTCAAAGAAAGCACGTGGAGCTTTCTTTTACGTGGAGACAGTACTTATGACAACCGTAATTAAGTGATTGACTTGTGTGTCTGTATAATGATTTGCTTAGTGTTTGTCTCCCTTCACTAGTATAATTTCCATGACTGTTTTATTCACTATTATATCTCCAGCTGCTAGTGAAGGGCTTAGCACATAATATTCAATAAATATTTGTTGAGTAGTTGAGTACGATCGCCTCTTGTTTCAATTATACTTATAATCCCACTTATGTAAGGGTTCTAAGACCTTTCCAATTTAATGTTGCTTCTTACAGCCTCAGGGCCAACTTGCTTTTCACCATAAGCACATCACGCCAATCAGTTGTTCCTAACTGTAGAGTTGTTTTGGTTTCTATACCATGGATATCACCTTGCATATCTTTACCTTTTTTCAGTTTTCCAATAACAATGCCTATTTCAAGAGAACCATCCATATCCTGACACACTAGGGAGATGTATTTGGGTAACACTGTGGGAACATTGTTCCTTTAGAAAGTGCAACTGTTGTGGCATTTATCAAATTCTATAGTTATTCTAAAAGATGTGGTTCATATTTTTAGAAGACAATTCCTGTTAGTGTAATGCGATGATATTCTAAAAAAAACCTCTATTGCATTGTCATACTTAAATATCTAATTCTTGGAGAAATGTTTTAGATTTATGAATACTGTGTCTTATTTTGACAATGTAAATATTTTAAAGCAATGTTATCTTACCCATGATTGAGCACAGAGCATTTTTTTTCATAATGTAGTTCAAATTGACTGAATAATTGAATGCTTGCCTTATTTTTAAAATCACTTTCAATATCAGCCACAAACTGGAATTTATACATAGAGAATGTTAAATGGAATGGAATCATATAATTATATCGGTCACACGGAATATGAAATTAGTTTCGGTAGGAAATTGATTGTCAGGAGGATAATAAGGACACGTTATTATCAGGTACAAGATGAAGCATAATATACTCTATGGAAAGGATGATCTAAATTCTCAAAAATATTTATTAATGCATTCATTTCCAAAACCTGCTGTCTAATTTTATTTCCCACTTTATACCCCCTTCTCTCTGTGCTCAAGCTATTCTGTGATCTTTTCTGTTCCTCAAACATGCCAGATATCCTCCTGCCTTAGGGAGTTTGTACTGGCTGTTCGCTCTACCTGGGGTTCTCTTCCAGACACAGGGCTAACTCCCTCATCTCCTTCAAGTCTTAGCTCCAAGTCCTTTTGCCCCAAATGCCCTCTCATCCTGCACTCAGTCTTCCTCACCCTATTCTGAAAAGCTTCTTAAGACCAGATAAACGACCACTTTACCATCTATCTAGAAATTAAAATGTTCATTGTTAACCTAAAAAGCTTTGGATTGTAGACATTGGAAAGGGCCATATCTGTCAGTAAGCTCCTTCTCCCGGCCGGATGTAATAAACCTGCCCCTTTGGCCTGGCTTGATCTGAAAAGGGTAACTGAGAAGTTATACCCACACACACCATTGCTTTGCTTTAGTCCCTCAAACCTGGGTTTTCAAATTAGTCTTTGAGATCAGGAAAAAAAGGGAAAAGTTTATTTTTACCTTTTCTGACTCCCTTTTCTATTTGCTGATCAGCATATAATAAAAGCAGAAACTGGGCAATATATCTCTAGTCTTTAATGAGGATATGGTGGTTTCTAGTCTCAGGGAAAAGCTCTTGTTTCTCAAGCCATCTGCTTAGGATTTTTTCAAAGTAAGTAATGTTCTGTTATGTCAGTATAAAAAAAAATACTTTGCATTTAATGAGCTTCAAGAGGTCTGGGTGGAGAATAGCAGGGCTTCAGAGGGGATATCATATGATCACTATTTTTACTATGCTGTGTTTATATTTGCAGCAACACTAAGCAGTCTTAAAACAGTGATTTTAAAACAGTGATTAGAGTGGGGCCTAGAACAGAAAAACAGATATATCGCTTGTTGGGTTATTTGAAATAGTAAGTCTTGGGGAGGAAAGAATGGATTTGAACATTTTCATAGTGGTGAAGGCCATAATCCCTCGTTCCCCTTAATTCACTCTTCTACACTTTAGAAGGTGCATTAGAGGCAAAGCGTTTGCTTTTTATCATTATTTTCAGATGTCTCCAGATATTGTGTCCAATTTCATATATTCCCAGATCTGCTAAGAATAAATAAATAAAAGTTTTAAAAAACTTTAAAAAATTGGCTTTCTGTAATGGAGCCACAACTTCCATCCTTTAGGGAAATGTACGAACATGTGACTCCTTTGCTTGAGCTGGACCGTCAGTCACACCACCTTTCTAATGGCAGGGGTGGGAGCACCACGCAGGCCAGGGTAATGGAAGTCTTCCCTTGTGTTCCATCAGGTTGGAATTTCCATTCTGGTGGCACAGCAGGAAATAAGAGCCTGAGAAGCTTTCAGTGGCCGTAACTGAGGGAGGAAGGGGAGGTCTGTTGGGGGGAATGAAACTGACACAGAGAGGGGCAGATATTCAGAGAAAGGGTCCTAGAAGCATTAAGGCCTGTTTCCAGGCCTCCCAGAGGCTCACTCACCTCCTGACTTTTTTCAGTTTGTTTATATGAGTGTCCCGCCCAATTTCCCCTTTCCTCTAAGTTAAGCAACTGGGTTTCTGTCTTCCAGTCAGCCAAAGAATCCGCATGAACCAAGACCCTCCTTCTGAACAGTGAGGGTCCGAGTGACGAGGAGAGCTAAGGGCGCACCTTGAAATAAGCACATGAGTCCAAAGCCCTTCAGCTGAACACACATTACAACACAAACTTAAGGAAACAAAGGGTTTCGAAGCTTCACTTGATAGTCAATTATTATTATTATTATTTTTTAGCAATATTCAATGCAAAGAAATTTCATCAAAATAAAGAAATGGGAGCACTCTTAAAAGTTCATAATGGCATTTTCATGTTAAATTTTTATCTTGAGAAGTTGATATACTTTCATGATAATAAATAATGGAAAGAACGTTTGGACCAGGGTTTGAATTGGAAAGGTTACTACCCTTTTCTGTGTCTCATTTCAATCTTCTGTAAAGTTGTCGAAATGTGTTTCTTTCATAAGGTGGTTACAAGCATGAAATGAAGTAATGCAAATAGAACCCCTTACAGGGCACATAATAGGTGCTCAAGAATGGCGGCCATATGATATCATCTGCCTGGGGGACTACTTTCACTCCTCTGGTATGTTGGGGCGATATGGCATGGCTGTTGTCCACCCACACATTGACCTCCATGAAGGGGTGAAGCCTTGTGACACCGTGCGAGCTTGTGAATGTGTGTGGGTGTGGGGTGCGGGGAGGTAGGGATTATATTCTCAACTGTCACTCTCACAGTTTGGGCAGGAGGAGGGAGTCGTAGGGTCAAGGTGTGTGGGCCTTGTGTATTGTAGGTGGTCCACCTTGATGTTCAGTGTAAAAATCAAATGCTTTTACTGCTACAATTGAGGTGTGTATACACTCTGAGGCTTTCTATAATATTGTCATCGGGACGTGGGTAAAGGGCTTGAGAATTGCATAGAGAATTTTTTGGTAACTTTCTATACAAATATCTCTTGATCTGGGGGCAAGCTGACTTGTTTTATATAAATTTACAGACCAGAGGCATGAGAGTAATTGTATTATATTTCATTTTTCTTGTTAGAGAGAAATGGCAACTAGAAAAATATAAAAATTTGAAAACTATTTCAATATTAGAAAAAGATTTCAATAGGAAGTCAAATTGACCTGAACACCACAGGTACAGAATGCTGTGTAAATTGTTATATACTGCTCACTTTACAACTATCTATAAAAGCTGAAATGAAATTAAACAGGGAATTAGGAAAACGTCATCAGACATAAAGGAAGTAACAACTGGGAGGAATTCAGACTTGCCGCTAGGCTTATATTTAATGGACATAAAATTTAACTTGAAAATGCTCTGTTACACCTGAGGTACCTTTTGTTGGGTAATTGAAACGAGTCTCAGACTGGCTGGTGAGACATTTAGCAGCTGTTTCTGTTTATCTTTGAGCTTCTGAATGATTTTAGAGTCATTTTAATATTTTCTTTGGAAGATCAATTCTGGGCATGTTGAATTAAAATGGTTATTTTTATGTCACCTAGGCTAAATATTGCAGGGGGGAAAAACCCATAGGAGCAAGTTCAGATATTTCCTTGTGTATCTGAAGGTGTATGGTGCGCCATAAAAAGGCTTCTGTCACATTTTAGATACAAAATGCAACTATACTGTGAGGTACCTGGCATGCTCAAAAGTAAGAAGAGGTGTCCAATATAGCTGTCTCAGAAAAGCAATGAGAAGGTATATAAAATATTTTAGAATCATTCTTAGCATAAAAAGGATTTCTAATGAGCACGTTTTATAAGGCTGAATTTATTTCTAACAAAACCATTTGAACAAACTATCATGATAGTTTACAGAGAGACAGCTTAAGGGAAA